CACTGGATTAAAAAATGCTACCCAATAATATGTTGTTTACAAGAGACACATTATTATTATTATTATTATTATTATTATTATTATTATTGGCTTAAAACAACACAAATTTATTATTTTGCATTTCGGTTGGTTAGAAGTCTGAAACACACAGGCTGAAATAGAGATGCTCGATGGCTGTTTTCCTCCTGGGAGACCCGAGGAGAATCCCTCTGTTTCTGGTTTTGGTCTGTTTTTCGCCCTTCTCACTGTCTAGAGGTCACTTTCATCCTTGGCTCATGGTATCTTCCTCCGTCTTCAAAATCTGCAGTTGCATCATTGAAGAGGCACATTTTGAATATAAAGATGCAGGTAGATTAAGAGAAAAAAATGAAAAAAAAACTATGCTGTGTAAACAATAATCACAAGATAGCCAGGGCAGCTAGCTATTAATTTGAAATAAAGCAGACCTCAAAGCATGGAATACCACCAGAGATAAAGAGGAACATTTCATGATCGTATTAGTAATCTATTGCTTTGTAACTGATTATGCTAAAATTCAGCAGCTTAAAACAATGAACCTTTAGTATCTCACAGATTCTGTAAATCAAGAATTTGGGCGTGACTTGGGTGGTTCTGACTCAGGGTCGGCCACGTGGTTGTAATCAAGATGTTGAGCAGGGCTGTGGTCTCAAGCCTTGGCTGGGGTGGAGAGTCCACTTCCAGGTTGGCTCATTCCATTTATGCTAACTTCACATGGTGAAATGGGAAAAAACCCCTGAAAAACAAGCCTTTCTAAAACGGATGCAAGAAGATAAAGACACTCTGAGCAGCCTTATAGCTGTTAAAGAAACTGCAACTGTGTTTACACTCCTTTCGCAAAGACTCCAGACCCAGCTGGCTTCTCTGGTGAAGTGGCGCTGGTGTTTCCCAAATCTCCACAGAGCAGCAGGGAGGAGCTGACGTGGCGAACCGACAAGGATGTTACGGGAAAATAAGCCAGAGACCAGCATGTCCCACAAATGGAAATGCACGTGCTTGTATCGAGAGACTAGCAAATCAAGTCCACCAACTCCAGGAGGGGTAGTAACGCCACGGCCAAGGGGGGTTTATCCGAGGGCTGCAAGGTCGGCGTCGGGAAGTAAATCAGCGCGGTTCACAGCAGCCAGGCTGAAGGAGGAACGCCGTGTGGGCATCTTAACAAGTGAAGAAAAGCACCTGATACAACTCACTACCCACGCAGGGCTTAAAAAAAGACGCCAAACTCTCATCAACTCTCCAGGAGCAGCTGGAAGTTACATCCGTGTGATAAAGGGCATATAGAAAAAGGCTCCAGCCAACACCACATCTAGTATTGAGCACGCTCCCCGGAGGGCTGGGAGTGAGGCGAGGGTGTCCGTTTTCACCATTTCTGTTCGACATCGTATGGGAAGTCCCAGCCGGTGCGACGAGGAAAGAAGAGGAAACAGAGAACGAAAAGAAGGAAAAGGCATAAAGACCAGAAAGGGAGTGATGAAACTGCCCCTGTTTGCAAATGACGTACTCCTGCACGCAGACAGCCTGAAGTGGGATGCAGAAGCCTGTCAGAGCTCCTTGGGGAGCTTAGCAAGTTGGCAGGGTAGGTGTCAGAGCACATGAAGAGTCAAGATCAGTATAAAAAACCACTAACCTATCAGCAAGCAACTGGAAAACGAAATTAAAAGACAATTTTACGTAGCATCAGATACCTAGGTATAAATTTTACAAAATACGAACACCGTACCTACACTGAAAACTACAAAAGTAGCTGACAGAAGTCAAAGACCCATTAACTGAAAACTTCATGTTGATAAGATGTCGGTTCCCCAAGAATTTTTCTAGAATAACTGAAGGGGCTCAGTGCAATCCCGATCAAATCTCCAGGAGGACTGAAGAAATTGTCAAGCTGGTTCTAAAATGTAGACAGAAATGCAACGTGGAAATGCGGACTTGGAGGCCTTCCAGCACCTGATTGCATGACTGGCTTTACTGGCGCGGTGAGCGGGCAACGTGGTGCTGGTGCAGAGACAGACAAACAGACCAGCACGGATCAGAGTCCAGAACCAAACCTGCCACACACGACCGATCGGTTTACAGCAGAGGCACCCGTGTGACTGATGGAAAAGGGCCGCCTTTCCAACAAACGTTGCCACAATGACTCGTCATCTATATGGAGAAAAACTCTGAAGACAGCAAAACCCAGCCAAGCCCTGAGCACTGCCGGGCGCCACCAACATTCGGTGCGAGGCGACCGGCAGGAGGGTCAGGCCCGGGAGGCAGGCGGCACGTGTGTCTCATGCCCAGTGTCCCCCGGGGTGTCCTCGGCCCTGTGCCCGCTGCACACCTGCTCCCACCCCGGGCCCAGCTGCCACGGCCTCCTCTGGGCGACCCGTCTTTCTCTTCTCCTCAGCAGGTGCCCGTGTTTGGGACCTTTCAGTCGGTCCCCCGCTGGTGGAGTCCTTTCCTTACCCCACGCGGCTTTGTAGGATTCAGCGCAGACACCCCCTCCTCCGGGAAGCTCCCTCTGCTGTCTGGGTGGGGAGGTGTGACCTTCGTCCCTGCTTCCCTAAGGCGAGCGCCGTCCACAATGGGACGTGTGCGGGCCCTCTAACCACTGTCAGGGGCAAACTGGGACAACGGCGCCTCTCTGCACAGGCCGCCTTCGCTTGGCGCTGAGGGCTCGGTCCCCTCTCCCGACGCCCAGCCCTCTGGGGGCGGGGGCCACACCCTGGCACGCCCCGCTCTCACCTCCGGCCCAGGGCCCAGCCGGAGCTGTTCGGAGCCGGTTCTATCAGGGTTTGCTGGCTGAAGGGGAGAGCGTGGCCCAGGGCAGGTGATGGACTGGATTCTGCCATGGGCAGCGGGTGCCCCTTCTCTGACTTCCTGCTCAGGCATCCATCCAGTCAGTGGTCAGGTCTTGGCTGGCCGGGAAGGTTCCAGAACCCAGGACCAGCATGGTCTGATTCCATTCTGTGGCGCTCCTTTTCTGCCGCATGGTTGATTCTCTTGAACACACCATTCCTGCAATCGTGCATTCATCCAGCACCGTCTCCAGGCCGTGCAGTCCGCAAATACTTGTCGGGCCCCTCCTCCTTGCCCAGGGAGACCCTCCCACAAGGACAATCACAGGGGTGCAAATATGACTGCAGGAAATGCAGCCTGCAGTGGGTGGGGAGGATGCTCTGGGCAAGGGGGTCGCCTTGGACCAGGGCAGGTGTGCGTCAGAGGAACACGGCATCCACTGCCAGGAAGCTGCCGGTGTCACAGGACAGACAGACTTGAGGATGGACCCCGATGGCTGAGCAGGACATGCCAACAGTGGGGACGTGAGCAGACAGCACGGTGGGTGTGCAAGTTCAGGGCGGGCTAGGCACGTCTGGAGCTCGGCCCGGAGATGGAGATGGAGACAGGAGAGGTGATGCGCTGGCTCTGAAGGTCGGAACAGCCTCAGCACCGCCTGCCCTCTGCCAGCCTGCCTGCCAGCCTTGCCCCTCCCCAGTCCCAGGAAGGCGGTTTGCTCAGCCTCGAAATTTTTTTTTCCAGACCAGCTTCCTGTTGTCAGGTGACGCGCAGGAGGTCACCCAGCTGGAGAGGCGCCAGCAGGATGGGAGCCCAGCCGTGTGAAAGCCTGGTCCCCCCAGGTGGCGATGCACTTCTCCAGGGCTGGGGACACATTGGCTCTTTTGGGCCCAGGCTGGCGTCTGTACACTACACCCCAGCAGCGGGTTCTGGGGCCAGAGATCCTGCACGGCCCATCTGTCTAGACGGGGCTGTTTATCACGTGCCCAGACACTGCCAGCTGCCTGGCTGTCCGCCGGTCCCCGCCTTGACACAGATGGATGGGCCCCCTCAGGGGGCCCCACAACTATTTCCTGGGCCTGGGAAGGTGAGGCTGATGCTGGAAGGGTCTCTGAGGCTGCCTCCCTCCCCCGGCCGTCTTCCCATTTCCAGCCCTTCCAGGAGGGAAGCCGCACTCCTCCTTGGAGTCCATCATGAAGTGGTCCCAAGGATAGATGGCTCTTCCCCACCCCTCCCCTCAAAGCTAAGGCGGGGGTCCCTGACCCTCCTCCCTAAGCCTGCTGGACAGCTCTTAGATGGCTGGAACCCTGGCCTCTCTCAGTTGGAATCATCCTGTCTTAAGGGCACAGTCTGGGAGACCAGGCTGGGTAAGCTGGTGTGGTCAGAACCTTGCCCTTCCCAGGCAGGGACAGACAACCTGCAGGGTTGGCAGGGGTGGCTACAGGTAAGACTTTCTTCTTTCCATTTCTTAATTGTCCCCAACGTTCCCAGAATGAATAACACATACGTTCTCTCTAGTGAAAAAAAAGAACAACTTAAAAAAAACTTTTAGGTTTTTTTTTTTAGTTTTAAATTTTTTTAGTTTTTGGTTTTGGGGCGTTCCCAAGAATAGAATAACACATTACGTTCTCTCTAGTAAAGAAAAAAGAACTAAAAACTTTAAAAAACTTTGGTTTTGGTTTTTGTTTAAGTTTTTGTTTGTTTGGGGAAAGGTAATGAGGTTTCTGTATTTATTTATTTATTTTAATAGAGGCTCTGGGGATTGAACCCAGGACCTCCTGCACGCTAAGCATGCGCTCTACCACTGAGCTCTACCTTCCCCGACGAAAGACAGCTTTTAAAACCAATTCTCCCGTAGTTGTCAAATGCTTTATTGTAGCAGGGTTCATGTAGCATGTATAGAATCTCTTCATTCTGGTAAAAATGGAAATTTCTGCGGGCCTCTATTAAAAAGTAAACATGATCGGAGGGTTCTACCCCCAAAATGTCTTTCTTTGAGTCCAAAGAGTTTTGGTGATTTATCTCTTAAATATTTTCTGTAGGGCTTGAAAGTCTTGACGATGGCTATGAACCGTTTCTTTTTTAATCATCAGAAACATATAAAATGATTTGTGCTTTGAAAACTAAAGGAATGGCTTCAGTTACCTCTGTCCCCTCCCTCCCCACCCTCCTCCCTCCCTTCCTCCCTCACAAGGAAAGCCCCAAGGGAGGGCAAACACTGGCCTGGCAGGGTCAGCAGGGTGTGGGCAGGGTGTGGGGGTGACGGGTGGAGAAGGATTCTGGGAGGAGGGGAAGTTGAAGATGGAATGGAGGGGCAAGAACGCCCTCCAGGCCGCAGGTATCCAGGAGCCCTAGTGTGGGCGGCGGGGCTGGAAGTGCTGAGCCTGTGAACCCTCTTCTGCTGGTTCACTTTTGGTGCATTTGGTGAGGAAGCAGCGCCATCTGGTGGTCTGTGGAGAGACTGCTGGGCAGGCCCTGGGTGGGGTCACTGGGCAGCTGGGGCAGGGGGAGAAGCCTGTAGGAAGAGGCTCAGCGCGGCCCCAGTGAGGACAGCCCCTGGCCCAGCCAGCGCCTGGGTTCTGATCCACCCAACCCCCCATGGGGACTTCGGGGGCTGCCTCCCCTCCACCCCGGCCCCCAGTTGGTGGCAGGAGAGGAGGCAGGAGCTGGGGATGAGGGCTCTGCCCGCAGGTGCCTGTCCTGGGGTCTCCCGGTTTGCCTGCTGTGTATCTGGTCTCATCCTCAGGCTTCCCCGGACCCCGCGGGCTGGGCATGGAGGGACCAGGACCACAGCTCTCACTCTGTCCCCAGCCCTTGGATCCCCAGGGCAACTGAGCCAGGGCTGGGGCAGGGACGACATTGTCCTGGAGGGTCTGGTGAGGGGTCGGGGAGGGCCCGGGAGGCCTCTACATGCGGCCCATGGGCAGAGACACTTCCCCGGCCCCCAGCGGGGCCCCCTCCCCCAGGGACCGCTGGAGAACCACCCGCAGTGGCTCTCGCTTGCCTGGCTGCCGGCCTGTCGTGAAGTAGATGAGTGGCTTGGAGCTGCAGTGGATGCAGGCCAGGAGCGTGGGCAGCGGGGAGAGCGAGTACAGTCGGCGTAAAAAGGACTGCATGGGGACCCAGGACAGCAGGAGGTCCAGGCTGCTGCTCAGGATCCAGTACAAGATGTAGGAGAGGCCGCAGAAGAACTGGAGCATGGAGCTCAGGACGACACCGTAGAACGGGGGCGCTGCCGCTGGGAGCAGCAGGCCACCCAGATGAAGAGGACCAGCCCGGCCACGGAGGCCCCGCAGGCTAGGGTCAGCAGCCACGTGACACTGGCTGTGTGGAACCACGGGCAGGTCCGCAGGCGCGTGCCGCCCGGCAGCTGGCCGCAGGCGTTGGCGGGCAGCAGCACAGTCAGCGGGGTGAGGGTCCAGATCAGGCCACAGAGGATGCCCGCTGTGTGTCTGGGGCGGCAGCCCTGGTAGCAGGTGGGGAAGATGTCAGAGAGGCAGCGCTTGGCGCTGAAGGCCACCAACAGCCAGAGCCCCACGAAGAAGGCCACGAAGGGGAGGGTGAGGTAGAGGCCGCCCTGGCCGCCCAGGGAGGCCTGCGCGGCCCAGACGGCCACCTGGCAGCCGAGGAACAGGAAGTCGGTGGTGGTCAGGTGGAGGACATAGACAGAGAAGGGGCCCTTCTTGATGTGGAAGCTGAGGTGCCAGAGGACCAGCCTGTTCCCCACCAGCCCCCCGAGGCTGACGGCAAGGGTGATGCAGGAAACCACACTGTTGAAGGTCCTCCAGAGCCCCAACATGCTGGCTGGCTCGCGGGCAGCCGGAGGGACCCTGGAAGGAGGGGACAGATGTTGCTGCCGGCGTCCCCGCGCGGGAAGGTGCTGCCGTGCTGGTGCAGCCAGGTAGACGCGCCTCCAGCTCGGGCCCCTTCCTGGCCCAGGTCCAGCCCTTCGGGCCTCAGGACCTCCTCATAAAAGGAGGATTCGCTAAGATGTGATGATGATGCGGGCCAGGTGGGCGGCCCGCCCGGGGCTGGGAGGTGAGGGTGACTGCAGAGACAGACAAGGCCAGGCACCAGGGCGTGATGTCGAAGAGGTCGGGTCTCTCAGGCAAGGTGGGCGCTTGCGTGGACGGACGCGTGTGCGGGGCCTCCTCCCTCCTCCATCAGGGACCCACACGTGGCCTCCCGCCCTGGAGGGCCTGGACTGCACTCCTGCTGGGCGCCCCCACAGAGGCTCCGCTGGGCAGGGTCCTCGATGGCCCCACGCACACTGTCCTGCACCGGCCTGGAGAAGGGGTGGGGAGAGGTCCTGGGGGGCAGCGGGGGGCTGGGAGGGTGAGGGAAGGGGCACCCCCAGGCCTGTCTGCTCTGTGGCCCCCGCAGGGCTTCAGCCCTGGGACTCGGGCGTGGGCTTCTCTGGAAGCTCAGGAGGGGTGGGGACTTTGGTGACAGGGTCCCGGGTCCTCCGGGGAGACGCCTATACAGGTGTGTGCTGCTGGCCTCTCTGGAAAAGTGAGAGGCTGCAGAGCCCTGCTCTGCTCCGAGGGGACAGGGACCCCTCACGGGGAAGCCAGGGAAGCCCCCCCCCGGGACCCATGTGGGGGCCATCAGAGCCCTGTCCCCAGGGTGAGGAGTGGGGGGAGAGACAGACAGACAGACAGAGACTGAGAGACAGACATACCCAGTGAGAGACACATGGACAGACAGACAGACAGAGGGGGAGCCCCCTACACACCTTGGGTTCTTCTCACAGTCCCACCTTTGCTGGGCTGTGCCTCTGCCTGGACCACCCTCTCCCCCTCCCCACTTACCCAGGTCCTGGCTCCTTGAAGGCCCCGGAACCGTCCACAGCCTCTCTGAGCCTCCCAGCCTCACACCTGAGAGTCCTCGCTGGTCCCCTCCTCTGTGGCTGTCCTTGTCCCTGGGGGGTGAGGGGGTCTTGCCTTTGTCCCCCTTAGCCTTTTCTCGTACAGGCACATGGTGACAGTGGCTCTTGGGGCCCAGAGAGCCGGGATGGCCTCTGGTGTCATAGGGTGACTGCACCGACCCCCTGCTCTGGGCCTGTTCCCTCGAGGCACGGGGATGGGCTGTCTGAGTCAGGGGGAGGGGGAGGGCCAGCGCTGGGGCTGTGCTGGGGGAGGGGGCTCTGGAAGGAGGTGGAGGGAGGAGTGGAGGAGGGGCTCGCCAGGCGGGCTGTCCTCACTGGTCTCAGAATGGGAACACCTGCCTGTACATGCAAAGATTCGGAGTGCCGGCTTTTAAATAACACCCTCCTCCAGTCTGCTTCCCCGGCCTCACGCCCACCTCCCAGCCCCACATCGTCCTGCCCCACGGGAGCCCAGATGTCCTCGGGGTGTCCAGAGCCAGGCCTGGGTGGAGCAGGTGGGACAGGTGCAGGGACGCTGGGCCTTCTCACCTGCTGCCTGGGCGCCTCTCGGCTGTGCTCACTGCCCGCCTGGGGCTCCTCCCTGGGCCTAAATCCTCTCGTGTCCCCCTGGGGCTCGGCTGGCTGGACCCGGGCACTTGGGCCAGTTCCCTGGAAGTGGGAGGGGTGCTCCTGTTTTCAGCAGTGAGCTCAGATGGAAATGTCTTCTGTGTGGGCCTCTCTTCCGTCCCTCCTCAGCACGCGAGGTGCCTAGAGGGCAGGCTGGGGGTCCCGTGTCCCGGGGGGCTGGGCCACACCTCCGGGTGGTGCTTCAGAGGCCACGTCTGCTCCAGTGTCCCCTGGTTTGTGGGAGAGGTGCCTGTGAGCCAGGAGTCTGGCTGTGTGGCCTTGGGAGAATGACCTGGCCCTCCCGTGCCTCAGTTTCCCCTCTCCTTGGCCTGAGCATCCATGGAGAGCTCACTGCCTGGCTGGAGGCTGGATCCTGCTGCTGTGGGAGGTCTGGGGAGGCAGATGTCAGCCCCTTTCCCAAAAACCCACCCCTTACTGTCCACCTGCTGGCCTCAGATCCTGGGGTCCCAGCTGCCAATGGATTCTTTGGGGTTAAAATGCTTTTCCAAGTTTTGTTCCACAGAGCTCCACGCCCTGCGCTGGGTCTGTTAAGGACTTGCTTTTTCCATGGGGTGCTCTGCCATCCCAGGGACTCAGCGCAAGTCAGAAGTTATGTGTCGAGATGCTATTGGTCCTAACAGTTTTCAAGTGGGCTTGGCTGGGGCCTGCCTTCTGCTTCACAAGTGCCCACCCTGTGCCTCCCGCCGAGGCCCGCCAGCTCCCCAGCCCCCACACTCCTGCACGTGGCTTTAAGGAGTGAGCAGCTGCATGCCTACAGGCCCAGGGACCTGGTTTCCTCCCGCAGGGCCCTGCCACCTGGAACCTCGCTGGGAAGGATGGTCTTTGCAGGAGGGAGGGTCTGAGACGAGACCGTGCTGAGTGGACCCTAAACACGTGGACAAGTGTCCTTATAAGAGACAGGAGAGGAGGGGCACACAGAGGAGGGGCCACGTGAGGACAGAGGCAGAGACTGGAGGGGCAGGGCCATGAGCCCAGGGACGCCTGGAGCCCCAGAAGCTGGAAGAGGCGGGTTGACCCCCCTCCCCGGACCCTTCGGAGGGAGCATGGCCCTGGGACACCTTGATTTCAGACTCTGGCCTCTGGACCGTGAGAGAAGAAGAGCCTGCTGTTCTGAGCCGTCCTATCTGGGGACTTCGTGTTGGCCACCCCAGGACATGGACACAGTGCTGGCTGGGTGCCATGTGCTCTCCACAAGCAGCTCGTTTCTGGCACAACCAGCTCTGAGGTGGCCAGGCCACCCCTGCCTGCAGACGGGGAAAACAAGGCACAGTGAATAGCAGACCTGAGTGTGTGGTGGGGGTCCCCGCCAGGCCAGCAGCGTGACGGCATCTCTGTGCCACCCCTCCTGCCTCTCCCTGAAGCCACAGCATGATTCTCAGAGCCATAGGCTGTTACGCGACCCTCGGAAGCCAGGGTTGAACCCCAGCCTCACGCCGTCACCCGAAACACCACGTGCGTTCGTGTGGACGAGTCCTCGCGGCCTGTTTCATGGCCGGGGGCCTGTGTCCGAGCCCAGCCTGCCAGAGGGGGGCTTGGCTGCACCACGTGGCTGGTGTTCAGCCATTTCTGGCCTACGACGAAGTGAGCAACTTCGCCCGGGGGGCCTAAACCCAGCCCCGCAGCCCCCGGCAGGCGGCGCCCCTGTCTCTGTGTCCATATCTGCAGGCTGGACCCGGGTTTTGTCACGTCTTGGGTGGGTCCTGGGGACTCAGGGAAGAGCCTGTGTCGGGCGGAACTGAGGGAAAGGGAACAGGGCAGGGGGACTCGGGGGTGGGGGCAGGGAGGCCCGTCCCCGTCCCCATGGCTTCCACAGCCACCGTCCCATCTGCCATTCAGAGCAAACTCGCCTGATTCTGAGACCCGGATGGGGGACATGAGGTGGCCCAGGGGCCGCCTGGGGACCAGAGGAGGGTCTCCCCTCTCCCGGCAGCGGAGTGTCCCGGGCTGTGGGCTTGTCTGCAGAAGGCTGTGCCTTCAGCGCAGGCATCACTGGCCAAGCCAGCAGGTGGGACGGTTGTCCTAAGTGGGTAGCGTGTCCCCCAGGGGAGGGGCACCCCGCTGGGACCACAGCAGGGCAGCTCCAGTCCGGCCAGGAAGCCAGGGAGGGGGCCGTGTGGGCAGGAGCCTTTATGTTCCACAGGAAGCAACCAGTGAGGTGGAGCCGCAGGCTTAGGTTTCGCGGTTCGAATCATCCGAGGGGGCTCTGGGGCACAGGGGCTGTTCACACACACACACACACACACACCAGCTGCCTGGACCTGCTCTGGGCTGATCAGAGCAGGAGATGGTGGCCCTGAATGCAGAGCCCCGTGGGGGAGGTGGTGGGTAGGTTTGCATTTGCAAAGCAGGCTGCAAGCAGTGGTTGGCTCTCCCTAGGAACTGGCTAACCCTGGGCGGGGCAGTCCCTGCAAGGGCAGGAGGCCCCAGAAGTGAGGGCATCAGAAACAGGAAATACAGGATGGGCTGGTACAGGCAGGCACTGTGACCTGCTGGGGGAGAGTGGCCCGGGTTGGAGGCTGCGCTTCCGGCCTCCCTTCTCCCTCCCCATTCCTACTCCGGGTCTTGCATGGGGAGGGGCTCCCACGGGGCTGCCTCACTCCTCCTGCCCCCAGGTGGGCAGAGTATCCTGGGTTGGGAGCTCCGCACACCCAGGAAACCAGGCCCCCTTGGCCGGCACTCGGCCCCACTGCCTCTGATGTGGATCTGGTCTGGAAGCTTACGTGATGGCACTCATGTTACCTGCTTCATCCCGTGTCCAACGACTGGCGCAGACTTGGCATATGCTGGTTTTTCCTACCTTTATTGTTTGCTCAAATGGTGGTAAAGAGGGTTTGAAAGAATTAGGCCTTTTCTCTCAAGACAGCCCTCCGTAAAATAAGCCAGCTTGGCCCAGGACCCCACGAGCGGAAATCCCGCAGCCCACCGAGCTGCAAGGACAGACCCCTGCAGCCGGGCTCCCGCCCAGACAGAGGGCAGGGTGGGGGGGCGTGTTTCAGAGGTGGGAGCCCAGGGGCTCTGGAAGAATCGTGCAATTCATGAAAAAAAGAAGAGAGAGAGACATAAAACTCGAGTGGATCTCTTATTTTAGATTGAAAGTTTTTGTGGTATTTTCGCCATTTCTGAGACGATTGAATAGCCGAGGCGTGAGCTGGCCTCACACGATGAGAACAAACGATACTTTACAGCTTGTGTCTGAGCTGGGGTGAGGCGGGGGGCGGCAGGCTGTCTTCCTTGGCCCCTGAGGAGCAGGGCCTGTCCCACACCCTTCCTGGGAACATTCAGCTGCCCAAGTCTGTTCACAGGAGCTCTGTCGTGGCCAGAACAGCCCCGAGGGTTCTGGGGTCCTGGAGGTGGGGGCTCTGGTGGGCCCTGACTCTGGCTGCCCCTGAGCTGCCTCCCCTCCCCGCCTGACTCGGGACACAGGCTGAGGTCTGGCTTTGCAGGTGGTCATGGGCGGTCACTTCTCCAAGGACGGCCCTGCGGGAGGACTCTCCCAGGCCCCCGTTTGGCCTCCGCCTGCTGGAGGACCAGCCTGAGGGGCATGCTCAGCCCGGGCAGAACGAGACGAGCTGCAGAGGTGGGAGTTAGGGAGGACGTGCCAGCGTAGTTTCCGGCACAGCCAGAAGGTGCGGAAGAGGAGGAGGACAGCAAGCAAGATCCAAGGCGGGGAAGCCACCCTCCAGCTGCTGTGCAGGCGGGCCCACACATGGGGCCGCGCAGCCGCCGCACTCCCTGGGGAGCCGGGCAGGCACCCCAGAGCAGCAGATGCACCTGCAGGCAGAGGGCCCGGGGAGGGTGCACACGCAGCGGTCCGATGACACGTGCGGCAGCACGGGTCCCTGGCGAGGAAGAGGGTGCCCAGTCGCTGCTCCGAGGTGATGGCCATGGGGAGACTCACACCCAGCACAGAGCAGAAGAACCTCAGTGTGGTCAGGCCATTCTGGATGGAGGGCAGGCAGTCCCGCTGGTCACGCACTAGGTTTCGGACAATGGCCACCTTGTGGCGGCTGAGGAAGATGAAGCTGACACAGGCCACATCTGGGAGGCAGGTGGCTGAGGGGAGCCTGGAGATGCTGGAGCTGAGCATCAGAGGACAGTCCATCCTCCAGCAACCCGCCCACCTGGAATCTGGGTGAAGGACAGACCCTGAGGCCCGAAGCCGCCCCCTCTTGGGCGCTGTCCAGGGTGCTGCGTCGGTCTGGGTTCTCTCTGTCATCAGGCAGGGTGGGAAGGGGCTCAGGAAGCCCCTGCCATGGCAATGATGCCTGAGTTCTGGGGACTGAGCCCATCTGAGGAGGTGGGCTCGCCAAGGGTTGGCTGGTGACCGGGAGTAGGGCCGAGACCCCACGGAGGGAGACCCCACGGAGGGAGACACCTCTCCCATTTCCGCCTGGATTGCCTGACCCCAGCCTGCCTTTCGTCTCCAAGGCACAAAGCAGAAAGGCTTCCACCCCAGAGTCCCAGTCTCCAGAGGCGGCCAATGTGCTCCCAGGCCAGGGCCAGCGGGGACCAGCAGGAAAGACGAGGCCCAGGGCCCTGCGCCTCCCTGTTTTTCGTGGTGCTTTTGATCCTCAGAACAAGTCTCGTCTACAGAGTGCCGGATACCTCATGTGCGTCTGATGGGTGGCCCAGCCTCGGAGGGACAGCCTGTGGTAGCCCTGGTGTCATATTTGTCATCATCTTACAGCAGCTCTTCACTCTTTGAGGTCTTTCCACGTGGCCAAGGCCAAGACCCCAGGGAACCTCCCTCAGACCTTGCCATGTCCCTGCTGGGGCAGTGGGGAGGGCTCCAGCCTTCCCCTTCCCTGTCCCTCACCCTTCCCCTGCCGAGAGAAGAGGGGCTTGTCTGACGTTGAGGCTGGGTGGGGGCCCTCCTCTCCCTCCTTCCTGCCCCA